CAACTCAACATTTGACTTGTATTCATTTTTTTTGTGAATTACATTTCAAACAATGTTTGTTTGTGTGGGTGAATAGTTCACGAAGCGAATAAAGTGTTAATATCTGAAAAAATTCTTGGCCTCATTTTTTTTCTTTCAATAATAATATTATTCTATTCATTTTTATCAATTACGCGTTTGAACCAAAAAAACAAACACCGATTCGAATGTATCAAAAAAATAACAATCGGTAATCATTGTTAGAAAATTTTACTCCAGAAAAAAATAGAATCTATTTTTAATCAAAAAAATTTATTCTACTTTTTCCTTTTCTTCCATTCAGTAAAATGATTGTAATCAAATCATTTTACGCCCACCATAATACACGTCTACATATTTTGAATTTGAATTCGATTTTTTAGTTTGATGATGTTAGCAAAAGCAATATCAATTTTTCTTCTCGATTTAATAATCATTATATTCTGAATAACCGTGGAATTTCATTAAAGAATCATGTCAAACTATAAAAATTCTACTTAATTTGTTCGACAAACAATTTATGTCTTATTGTTCTAGTTTCCAAAAAAAAACAAAACATTTATCATTCAACTATTTCGAAATTTTGTCATTCTTTTCAAAATAACAAAATGGTTTTTTTATGTTGAATATGATATAATGACATACAGAAAAAGAATAAATGTTTTTTCAATTCCATTTTTTTCCAAAAGAATTGCCCGATTAATTTTCAAACTTTTTGGATCGATTGCGTGTTTTTAGTTTTTCATTGATAGGGGGCGAATGCTTCGTTGAATATAATAATCAAACAAATTTAAATTCTAATGTTGTTTATTGTTAATAAAGAATGATAATTTAATTAATTTTTTCAAAATCATTATGATATTAATCCAATCAACTATCATTATTCATTTTGCAAGGCAAATTTTTTTATAAAACAAAACAATCAATGGTATATTCATCATGAACAATTTGACAACTTGAAATTTTGTTATGAAAAATATCTGTCCACAATGATAACCAAATTGATTATTGATCATTGTCTGAATGAATAGATTTGCTTTGACAATATTTCTCATTTGCATATATTGTTTATAAATATCATTTTCATTGATTGATGTTTTAGCCATCTGATTTGATAATATTTTGCCAAATCGATAATTGTATGTAGATGGATAAGTCAATCGTGTGTATAATGCGGATATAGAAAAGAACGTAAATATCCATACTGATATGATAAATGTATTTGTTGGAGTCATCTTAATTTGACGACTATAAAATACACATGAAATTATGCATATGATTTTTGATGCTGTATCCAAATTTAACATTACAAAACTTAACATTTTATTGAATAAAGCTGTTGAATAATATAGTTCTATATATTCTTTTTGTATACGATTCAATAAAGATTTCATTTTTATAATGCTTTTACATGATTCATTCTGTTTGAAAAGTAAATGTAATTGTTTCATTCGAATTTTCAAAAATTCAAGAAAATACCCGACAGCAATTGAACCAATTGATAACTGAATAAGCTGTATAAAAACAAGTAAACAAACTTGCGTAATGATTATCATTATAAATAACATTTCAATTATCGATATCTGATTATTCAAATATGAATCAATAACGAAATAAATTAAATACACAAATGCGTACACAAATCCAGCAACCAGTATTTTTATCAATAAATAGGCAGTAATTTTTAAGAAGAAATAATGTTTAATCAGATGATGACGATAATTTTTTGTTAATTGTTTGTCATCAAAATGTAGATTTTTAGAAATCACTTTATAACATGGTGATTTATATGTAAGTAGTTGAATGGACAATTTTAATTGGATCCATTCACCAATGAAACATGTAAGAAAAACAACTGTGATTAAAAGATCTAATCGTTGACAATCGACAATTTTTTCCAAATATTCCAGCCATTTTGAGCTTTCTTTTGAAAAGTCTAATAACATCAGAAAAATGATGCTCCAGTATGCATTTAAAGATGATAGAATGATTCTTCGAAGTCTTTGAAATGTTCTTGGTATTTGTTTTTTCTCATATTCTTCCAATGTAAATCGGATTTGTATGGTAAAGTATAGAAAATAAGAATATCCATTTTCAATAATTTCAGATATACTTGATTCAGTTTTTAATCGAAATAAATCAGTTATTTTCAAGATTATACTCTCAACTGGATTTTTAATTATATCGCGTAGTGGATTCATAATTTTGATTTACATAAACTAAAATGTTTGCGATCTTGATCGAATTTGTAATGAATAAGAAAATTATTTCCAACATTGAATTCCCCTTTGAAATTCAAATACAAAGGAATTCTTAGAATTTTTCAAATTAAAAGAATACGCCAAAAGTTTCATGCTATGAAGATTATTTTTTTTCAAGTCAATTAAAATTATTAATGACAGATTCATTATCTATTAGTATCCAACTTTTTTAAAAAATTTCATCATTTATTTGATAAATTGATATTTTAGTGAGAATTTAATTCAATGACAACTGTAAAATTGTTTTCCGAATGAAATTAATTGCATGATCACTTTTTCAAACTTTAAATTTAACAAAAATGTTGCCACGATGATTTTCAAAATTGAATTTTATGGCTTTAACTCTAGATGGCGACATATGTAAAAAAGAAATGAAAATCACCCAATTTGAAAATCAAATTCAATGTTTTTTTTTGTTTCTTAGTTTAAAGATGGCGCTAAACTTTTTCCCTAAATTAAAATCTATTTTGATTGATACTTTCGAGAGTAAAAAAAATTAATGCTATCAATTAAGAATAGTTGGTTTTTTCAAATATCAACATATCCGCCCACAACCTGTTGATCATTATTTTGATTATTTTGTTTAAAAAACCCTCGAAACATCATTAAAATGTTTATTTAAGAAACAACAAAAAAAACACTGTCTGACTTGATAATAATAACAATAACAATAAATTCGTCGCATCATTTCACAACCAAATCATCGTTAATACAAGGTTAAAAATCCTTTACTTTATATCCATTTATTCCAATAACAAAAATGTTTTCTATTTCTTCAGGCGTCATTGTTTAAATTATAATCGAAAAAAATGGAATAATAAAAATAATGATGATGATGATGAACATTTCGCATTTTGCTAATATCGAAAAACTTGTTCACCTTGAAAATCTTTAATATACTCTCTTTATACATCTAATATTCAAATATCTAATGTGTCTAAGAAATCAAATAGACTGTGCATACAGTAGTCATTTTTTTTCTTGTTGTTCACGAATACAAAATCAAAAATAAAAAAAACATATTTTATTCGAATCAAATCAATGCAAGTTATTATACAAATGACGATTACTTTTAATCGAATACTGAATAGTATCCATCCATAATCAAGTTTTCAAGTGTAAAAAATGAATAATCAATCATTCTTCGGGCAACAACATAATCTTGTCAAACATTACCTGTAAGAATAATCATTCAGAGAATTAATCCAATTAAAAACATAGGAGAATTATGCAATTTTTATTTTTTTGAATTTTTGATGTGTAAAATTTTGTACAGAATCACCATCAATAATTTCCATTTAAAAATAGTTAACATAATCATTAAATAATTTTTTTTTCAAATAAAACCTTCTGCAACAAACTATCCATCTTTTTCATCATCATCATCATTATTATTACCACACATTGTGTATTTGTATTCGACCTTCAATCATATTCATCAATAGGAATAAATAAAAAAACACATAGACAATCCTTTTAGTACAAACCAGATGGTTGTAAACTGAAAAAAAACTATCAAACATCATAATTATGATTATGATTTGATTTTTTTTCTGTTTCTCTGAAATGATTACCTTTCTTAAAAATTTTGTTTTTTATATAGCCTTTAGAAATGTAAGAAAAAAAGTAATTTTTTTACCTTTCATGATGATGATGATTCTTTGATGACCATCATCATCATCATCATCCGTAATAATATATCTGAACATTTTTTTCCTGGAAAATTTGATGGAGAACAACAAGAGTAAAAAGGTATCACGAAAGGGTTAGCAACAACAACAACAACAACAAAAAATTTCAAATCTAAACACGCAATTATTTCATCAAGATCATTATTTTGTTCAAATGAAATCGAATGTTATGAACTTTTGATTTAATTCTTCATTAACATCATTTTTTTTGAAGTAATTTTCTTTTCGTTTTTTTTGTCTGTCTGTCTGTTGTTAAATTGAAAAAATCTCATTTTCGTTTGATCAATCTGATCACATTATCTATTAAACTTTTATGATATTGATCCATTGTATGTCACAACAAGCTGTGACTGTTTTTGTTGAACCAGATTTTTGCTTCTGTCATTTCGAATCAATGACATTGATTCGTTCAGCGAATAAACTTAATCAATCAATCGTTATTGTTAATGTTTTTCGTAAAAATCATTCAATATGATGATGATGATGATTTTGAATCAATCAATTTTTTTTTACTGTAATTCATTATATAATAATCCTTTAAACTTTGGGATTATTATCATACATTTGATTGATTCGCGTGAACGCGTGTACATAATTTTTGCATTTAAGTTTCTTTCGCTTTCTCGCTTCTTTATGTTAAATCCGATTTTAAATACATCTGTCAACAACGACGAGGAAACACTGTTCGAATCAAATTATCCATGTTTCAAATGGAAACGATTTAATCTGAATTTGATGAAAATGATGTTTTGTTTATGTAACAAACACGTGACACTCTTTATTTGAAATCAAAAAGATTTTTTCAAATTTCTTTCATCCTTACGTCCGTTAATAAAGTTTGAAAAAAAACATTTTGAATGAACCATGAACAAAAAAG